TCCATCTCAGATAGTACAGTAGACCAGAAAAACTGTTCTCATTGGTGGAAGGACTGAGAGTCAGATGACACTGATTTAAGGTCATTGGTGAAAGAAGCAATAGTGAAATGAGGAAACTCCTGACACAGTGAGTAGTTCAGGTCTGGAATACATTGCCTGACACCTGGCAGAGGCAAGTTTAATTGAGACTTATGAAAGGGAATTAGATGGTTATTTGAAAAGGGAGAAGGTGCAGGGTTGCCAGGAGCAGGTGAGGGAGTGTCGCTGGGTGAGATGCACATTCGGAGAGCCAGCACAGACATGCTGAGCTGAATGGCTTCTTTCTGCACATGTAACAATTCTATGATTTGATAAAGTCAACATCCTTTTACATAAAGGATATAGTGTTTGTCCGATTTATTAGAATGCTTTCCGAACGGAATTGGTGGCATCGATAATGGGGTGCCAGAGATGGAGTGCTCTTGGATTTCCAAAAGGCATTTGATGTGATATAAAAGACTATTACACAAGATAAGGCCTCCTGGAATAGGGCATGATTGTCATGTCCATAGGCATTATACTTTGCTTTTGTTTTAAAATGTGACTTTGAAAGGCCTTTTAACATGGCTGCTACAAATTACATGACTTACAAACAGCCAAAGTTCTGGAAGCATCGGTTGTTAGTTGGCAGAGACTCATGATGCTTGTGGGATTTCTCACCTGTTACTGTGTAGGCAGGCTGCAAAATATTGAAGCAAAGTCCCTCAGACTCCTGATCACTGTGCCCACAAAAGGTGCTGAAAATGTCTAACCATTTCGAATTGAATCAGAGATAGTAGGAACTGCAGATGCTGGAGAATCCGAGACAACAAGGTGCAGAGCTAGATGAACACAGCAGGCCAAGCAGCATCATAGGAGCAGAAAGGCTGACATTTCGGGCCTAGACCCTTCATCAGAAAAGGGGGAGGGGAAGGGGGTTCTGAAATAAATAGGGAGAGAGTGTGAGGCGGATAGAAGATGGATAGAGGAGAGGATAGGTGGAGAGGAAACAAACAGGTCGAAGAGGCGGGGATGGAGCCAGTAAAGGTGAGTGTAGGTGGGGAGTTAGGGAGGGCGTAGGTCAGTCCAGGGAGGATGGACAGGTCAAGGGGGCGGGATGAGGTTAGTCGGTAGGAGATGGGGGTGCGGCTTGAGGTGGGAGGAGGGGATAGGTGGGAGGAAGAACAGGTTAGGGAGGCGGGGACGAACTGGACTGGTTTTGGGATGCGGTAGGGGGAGGGGAGATTTTGAAGCTTGTGAAATCCACATTGATACCATTGAGCTGCAGGGTTACCAAGCGAAATATGAGTTGCTGTTCCTGCAACCTTCAGGTGGCATCGTTGTGGCACTGCAGGAGGCCCAGGATGGACATGTCGTCTGATGAATGGGAGGGGGAGTTGCAATGGTTCGCGACTGGGAGGTGCAGTTGTTTATTGCGAACCGAGCGTAGGTGTTCTGCAAAGCGGTCCCCGAGCCTCCGCTTGGTTTCCCCGATGTAGAGGAGGCCACACCGGGTACAGCGGATGCAGTATGCCACATTGGCAGATGTGCAGGTGAACATCTGCTTGATGTGGAAAGTCTTCTTGGGACCGGGAATGGGGGTGAGGGACCTGGAATGGGGGTGAGGGAGGAGGTATGGGGGCAGGTGTAGCACTTCCTGCGGTTGCAGGGAAAAGTGCCGGGTGTGATGGGGCTGGAGGGGAGTGTGGAGCGGACAAGGGAGTCATGGAGAGAGTGGTCCCTCCGGAAAGCAGATAAGGGTGGGGAGGGAAAGATGTCTTTGGTGGTGGGGTCAGATTGCAGATGGCGGAAATGTCGGAGGATGATGCGTTGGATCCGGAGGTTGGTGGGGTGGTACGTGAGGACAAGGGGGATTCTTTTTTGGTTCTTATTGCGTGGACGGGGTGTGAGGGATGAGTTGCGGGAGATGTGGGAGACACGGTTGAGGGCGTTCTTGACCACTGAGGGGGGGAAGTTACAGTCCTTGAAAAACGAGGACAACTGAGATATACGGGAGTGGAATGCCTCATCCTGGGAGCAGATGCGGCGGAGGCAAAGGAATTGGGAATAGGGGATAGCATTTTTGCAGAAAGGTGGATGGGAGGAGGAGTATTCTAAGTAGCTGTGGGAGTCGGTGGGCTTGAAATGAATATCAGTTTCTAGGTGGTTGCCCGATATGGAGACAGAGAGGTCCAGGAAGGGGAGAGAGGTGTTAGGGATGGTCCAGGTAAACTTAAGGTTGGGGTGGAAGGTGTTGGTGAAGTGGATGAACTGTTCGAGCTCCTCGTGGGAGCACGAGACGGTGCCGATACAGTCATCAATGTAACGGAAGAAGAGGTGGGGTTTAGGGCCGGTGTAGGTACTGAAGAGTGATTGTTCCACGTAACCTACAAAGAGGCAGGCGTAGCTTGGGCCCATGCGGGTACCCATGGCCACCCCCTTTGTCTGTAGGAAGTGGGAGGAATTGAAAGAGAAGTTGTTGAGGGTGAGGACGAATTCGGCTAAGCGGATGAGGGTGTCAGTGGAGGGGGACTGGTCGGGCCTGCGGGACAGGAAGAAGTGGAGGGCCTTTAGCCCATGTGCATGGGGAATGCAGGTGTAGAGGGACTGGACATCCATGGTAAAGATGAGGTGTTGGGGACCGGGGAATTGGAAGTTCTGGAGGAGGTGGAGGGTGTGGGTGGTGTCACAGACATAGGTAGGGAGTTACTGGACCAAGGGGGAGAAAATGGAGTCCAGATAGTTGGAGATCAGTTCGGTGGGGCAGGAGCAGGTGGAGACAATGGGTCGACCAGGGCATTCAGGTTTGTGGATTTTGGGAAGGAGATAGAAGCGGGCAGTGCGAGGCTGGGGAACGATGAGGTTGGAGGCCGTGGGTGGGAGGTCACCTGAGGTGATGAGGTTGTGGATGGTTTGGGAGATGATGGTTTGGTGCTCAGGGGTGGGGTCATGATCAAGGGGGCGGTAGGAGGAGGTGTCGGAGAGTTGGCGTCTGGCCTCGGCGATTTAGAGGTCAGTGCGCCATACTACAACTGCGCCTCCCTTGTCTGCGGGTTTTATGGTGAGGTTGGGATTGGAGCGGAGGGAGCGGAGGGCTGCATGTTCTGCGGGGGAGAGGTTGGAGTGGATGAGAGGGGTGGAGAGGTTGAGGCGATTGATGTCTCGACGGCAGTTGGAGATGAAGAGGTCGAGGGAGGGTAGGAGGCCTTGGGGTGGTGTCCAGGAGGAGGGGGTGTGTTGGAAGCGGGAGAAGGGGTCAGTAGAGGGAGGGTTAGGTTCACGGTTGAAGAAGTAAGCGTGGAGGCGGAGGCGGCGGAAAAACTGCTCTATGTCCAAGCGTGAGCGGTATTCGTTGATCTGTGGGTGGAGGGGGACAAAGGTGAGCCCTTTACTGAGGACTGACCGTTTGTCCTCAGTAAGGGGTAGGTCTGGGGGGATGCTGAAGACCCGGCAGGGCTGGGTGCTATTGTCCCCTCACAAGCTTCAAAATCTCCCCTCCCCCTACCGCATCCCAAAACCAGTCCAGCTCGTCCCCGCCTCCCTAACCTGTTCTTCCTCCCACCTATCCCCTCCTCCAACCTCAAGCCGCACCCCCATCTCCTACTGACTAACCTCATCCCGCCCCCTTGACCTGTCCGTCCTCCCTGGACTGACCTATCCCCTCCCTAACTCCCCACCTACACTCACCTTTACTGGCTCCATCCCCGCCTCTTCGACCTGTTTGTTTCCTCTCCACCTATCCTCTCCTCTATCCATCTTCTATCCGCCTCACACTCTCTCCCTATTTATTTCAGAACCCCCTTCCCCTCCCCCTTTTCTGATGAAGGGTCTAGGCCCGAAACGTCAGCCTTTCTGCTCCTATGATGCTGCTTGGCCTGCTGTGTTCATCCAGCCCTGCACCTTGTAACCATTTCTAATCATGTCTAACTGGACAGCACAATGGCTCCATGGTTAGCACAGCTGCCTCACACTGCTAAGGAGCCAGGTTCAATTCCATCCTCTGGCAACTGTCTGTGCAGAGTTTGCACGTTCTCCCTGTGTCTGTGTGAATTTCCTCTGGGTGCTCTGGTTTTCTTCCACTGTCTGAAGTTGTTTTGGTTAGGTGGATTGGCCATGCTAAATTACCCATCGTGAGCAGGTTAGGAGAATTAGCCATGGAAAACATAAGGGTTACATGATAGGGTAAGGGGCTGGGTCTGGGTGGGATGCTCTTCAGATTGTTGATGTCAACTTGATGGGCTGAATGGCCTGCTTCCACACTGTAGCAATTCTAAGATCTGCTGAGGTAATTTAATTAGATCTGAGCAGGGGGTGGGAACTTTCTTAACACAAACAGCTCATTAATGGCCACCAATATGTATTCATGGCCAGCAATTTTTGATTGAACTCATTTAGAATCACAGAGACTTTAAACGCACATTCTGAACCTTTAAATCAATTTGATACCACCAGTCAAGAAAGCAACAGATTCCAGGCTAACAATTACACCTGTCTGAAGGTTAGAGCCTCAATTCTTGCTTTCAATTCAGTTGAAAAGTTAAATAATCTTCAGTCTACTAATATCACTCGCAACTACTATCTCATCATTTTACCCTTCCCTCCAACTTCGAAGTAACTCTGCAAACTCCGACTCCACCATTTGGATTCTGATCTTCAACTGAATGAAAGGTTACATATTTAATTTTAACATTTAGATACATGATTTTCCTTTTACTGTATTGTTTGTGTGTGTGTGCTTGTGTGGTTGCATGCAATTTTATAAGACCTGTCTTGGATCAGAAATAAATAATGCCCTTATTTAAATCTAAGAGAGTCTGGCATTTGCTACTTTAAAATTGCTTTCATACAAACAGGTGTTTGGGATACACACCTCAGTCCTTTTGAAATGAAAGCCCTCTGTTTATGGAGTGAAAGTGAGGTAAAATAAAGGGGGTGTGTTTCTGTCATTGCTGTCTACATTAAAACCATTTGGCCCTTTGCACCTGCTCCACCAGTTAACATATCTTGGCTGATCATCGAACTCAGAAGCTTTTCTGCTTTCTCCTCATACTCATTGATCACTGCAATCTCTCGGATCTGAAAGACTGTATCCTCTATAAGTCTTGTTTGCATTTTCCCAGTGTTTCTATCCTTTTTACAGTTCTGGAACAGTGCAGATCGTGTGTTACCTGTGCAGGATAGCATACAGGTCTAACAGCACCTTTGCTTCTTTTACAATTGACACTCTGAGCAAGAAATCCTAGGGCTTGATTATTATTTTTAAAGATACTCCTGACTGGAGATGCTGCATTGATGATTCGTCCACCTGTCTCACATGATGAATGTGTTTCACTATCTTGTTTCATCCTGATTTTCTGAGCTATAAATGGTAGTCCTGATCCTGCCACTTGATCGGACCTGACCAGGCAGAAGCATCAGGTGAGAGAGTTCGATCGAGTCGGTCAACTGATTAATTCTTTCCTTTTGTTATTGGGAAACCTGGATTAGCCACCCTTTTGCCCTCCCTTATACTCCCCTTCACTACTCCCCAATTCCCCAAAATCTCCATGTCGTCCATTGGTTCCCTTTCCTCTAACTGCTCCTCTTCTCCCCACCCCAATTCCCCACAGTGCTACTCCATGCTGCCCCCTTCCTTACTGTTCTCCTCCCCACTTGCCCAAATTTTCACTCTCTGCACCTGCCTACCCAACCATCATCTTCTCAAGCCCCATTTCCCAATTATTCTGTTCCCACTGCATCATCTCTTGTTTTGCCCACACCTCGATGCCCCTTTCAATCTGCTCATATGTTACTCTCAGCTGATGGACTGCTGCTGGTAAAGAAGCTGTACAGCAAGACTCCAAGACCCCACCCCTGTCTCGAGGGAGGTAAAAGGTGCTAGCTCCAGGGATCAACCTGTATCTGATAATAGATAATGTGTGTCTGTTATGTGATATAACAAGTTGTAGAGCTGGATGAACACAGCAGGCCAAGCAGAATCAGAGGAGCAGGAAGTCTGACGTTTCGGGCCTAGACCCTTCTTCAGAAATG